GTCATATATAATAAATTGTTATATAATATCTTGATGGGAAAGAGAACTAGAGAAGTTTCTTTGAGGTTATATTTCTTTGAGGTTATATTTCTGCAGGCTTTCATCTGAGCAATTATTTTGCTAATAACCAATATCTGACCTTTTCTGCCTTGGAAACTGTTAGATAACCTCGGAATATATTATTTTGTATTAAGAGTTATGTTTCTCTGTAAGCTCTCCTGCTGGCTAACCCACCTTCATGTCATCTCTCAAAACTATTGCTAGTTGGATTTTCATGGTTTCTTGCTTATTACCCTCAGTCTTCTAGGTCATAGTGATTTATGCTGAGTGTTGTTTCTCTTCTTGTTCCTGCTGTCATCCTCTGCCTTAATCGGTCTTCCTATCAGCTGTATGCTCACAGTTTCTTCACACAGAAGAAACACAATAATAAACAAACAAATTATTTTAATAAAAGTTCTGACTCAAATTCCTACTGTCTGCATCGTGCCGTGTTGGTCTCTGCATGCTGCGTTGGTCTCTCTGATGGCCTGTTTCTGTGCAGCTTGCCACTCCTCCAGCTTCTTTTGCTGTTTCATCCACCACCGCCATCTTGGTTCCCTATGCTAGGCTATTTTAACCCCTTCCCTGGTGAGGAGACATGCCAAGTGCTTTTAAAGTATGTTCTCTTTTTTCTTGTCAAAATTTCTTCATCTTAAAGAAATCTTATCTCTTATGCTGTATTCTCCTCCTTCACATTCAGTGGTGCACACACTTACAAAAGTCCTTTACAAATATTGAGGTATAGAACATATTTATTTATTTTACTGGTATCCAGGTACATCAAGGCTGGAGATTTTTCAATTTCTTTTCATCTACCATAAAATAAGAGAGCTCTGGTGGCACAGTTTATAGAGAGTTGTGCTTCTAACTCAAAGGCCATACTTCTCCAGTGGTTCAAATTCACCAGTTACACCTTAGGAGAGAGCTAGACTGTCTCCTTCTATGTGATTTTAAGCCTCTAAAAGTCAATTAGAGTTTGTTACAACTGAGTTCCAACTTGATACCCCTAAGTTTGTGATGTTATTGGGATTTTTTTTAAACTATCAAATAGTATTACTTTTGATCTCTGTACAAAATAGTAAAATAAGATTATAAATTTATTCTGTGCAATAATTTTTGACAATGTTTTTGTATTTACTTATTACTTATTTTACA